CGTTGTCTAAGACAAAAAGGAATAAATAATAATATAAATAATATAAATAATATTATATATAATAATATAAATAATAATAATATAAATAATAATATAAATAATAATAATATAAATAATATAAATAAGGAAATAATATGTATATATAATAAAATAAATAAAGGTGTACCTATTATAGGTCCAGGTAATACCCTGTACCCTCCTTTCTTTCCTTATAGGGGGGCCCCCCTATTAAGGGGGGCCCCCTTATTAGGGGGCCCCTTATTAGGGGGCCCCTTATCCCCTATATATATTATAGATAGTCCTAAGAAAGAGGAAGAAGAAGAAAAAGAAGAAAAAGAAGAAAAAGAAGAAAAAAGGGGAGAAAAGGAAGAAAAAGAAGAAGAAAAAGAAGAAAAAATAAATAAAAAAAAAAAAGAAGAAAAAGAAGAAGAATTCTGGGATACAAGTAGACCACAATACTTTATTTATACATAAAATAAATAAATAAATAAATAAATAAATAAATAAATAAATAAATAAATAAATAAATATACTTATTTATATAGCTAATTAATTAATTAATTGGCTATATATATCTACTTATCTATTTTATGTATATATTTATTCCTTTTTTATTTATTTATACATAGTTATATAGTGTGTATAAATATGTATATGTATATGAATATGTATATGTATACGTGTGTATGTATATATACGTATATATATGTATATGTATATGTATATGTGTGTATACGTATATGTATATATAAGGCAGGGCAGTTCCCTGTTTATTTATTTATTTATTTATTTATTTTTCTTTCTTTTTAATTAAATTATTATTATTATAATAAAAAAATAAGAGGGGAGCAAATAGTCATGCTGCTGCTGCTGCTCTTCCTGCAGCAGCAGCAGCAGCAAATGTTGCTGCTGCTGCTGGCCCCGCAGCAGTTCTGCTGCTGGTCAACTAAGGTGTGGGGCCCCGAGGGAAAAGACGTTTTTTTTTTTCTTTATTTTTATTCCTTATATAAATAAAAAGGGAATAAAATAAAAAATAAATAAAAAAATAAATAAATTTATTTATTTTTATTGTTTTTATTGTAAAAAAAACAAAGAATTATACCGTCGATCTATGCTGGTCGGTCCGGTGTATCTGCTGCTGTTTGCTGCTGCTGCTGCTGCTACTGCTGCTGCTGCTGCTGCTGCTGCTCGATTAAGGCACATAGGGAGAAGAGTTGAATAAATTGTTATTTTTATGAATATTTGAATAAAATAATAAAATAAATAAATAAATAAATATAAATATAAGAAAAATAAAGAAAAATAATTCTTTTTATTTATATATTTATTTATTTATTCATAAGAAGGCCAATGGCCATCTGCTGCTGCTGCACACGCCGCACCCTTCGTCTTCTGCTGCGCCCCACAGCTGCTGCTTCTTTTTTCTTCCTTTTTTCCTTTATTTTTTCTTTATTTTTTTATATATTTCCTTCTTTTATTCATTTATTTTATTATATTTTATTTAATTTGTAGCCGTTGCTTCCTCCTCAAGAACAGCAGCAGCAGTAGCAACAACAGCAGCAGCAGCAGCAGTAACAACAACAGCAACAGCAGCAGCAGCAGCAGCAGCAGCTAGCTAGGGGTATCTCTCCTCCTCTTTATTAAATAGAGAGGGGCTGCAGGTCTTGTGTTCTTCTTCATAAAGTGACTCTTAAAAACAGACAGCGAATAACTCTTTTCTTTTTTTCTTCTTTTTCTTCTTCTTCTCTCTAAACCCTCGTAAATCCTCCTAAACCCTACCTCTAAACCCTAAACCCTAAACCCTACCCAAACACTAAGCCCTCTCTAGTAAAAGTTATCAATAGCAAACAATCAATCAGCAGCAGCAAATATTCATATATTTATTGTTTCTTTCTTTTTCTTTTTTGTTTATTCTTTCTTCTTTTGTCTTTTTTATTTATTTATAATAAATACCTCCTTAATGTGCGTCTCCTTCCTCTTCCTTTTCTTCTCTTTTCCTCTTCTTCTGCATCGTCGATACACTCGCACTCACAAACACTCCCTTAGGGTTTAGGGTTTAGGGTTTAGGGTTTATCTAGTAAATATTATTATATTCTTTTCCCTTTATACACATATATAATATATATATTAATGTGTGTGTCTATTATTGCTGTACAGGTACAGGATTGCTGCAACACTAAGCAGCAGCAGCAACAACAGCAGCAGCAACAGCAGCAGCAGCATCATCGTCAACAGCAGCAGCGTGAGCACAGCATTTGAGTACATCGTCAGCACAGCGTCTCATATATTACAGTGTCTATATTATATATATATAAATAAAATATAATATATATTTGTATATAAAGAAAATGTTGTGCAGCACTTCTTCTTCTTCTTCTTCTTCTTCCTCCTCTTCTTCTTCTCCTCCTCCTATAGATAGTATAAATGGTGTGAATAAATTATCTAGTGGATTATATGGTGCCTTTAAGGTTCCTCCTCCTTCTTTTTCTTTATCTTTCTTTGGTTATCCTTCTTATTGGTTTTTTATTAATAAAAAAGATATTCCTCTTTCTTGTTTTACATGGACTAATAAGGATAATAAAAAGAAGAATAAACAAGAAAAAGGAATTGCTGTTATACTCCTACAAGGAACAGAAGAACAATGGATGCAACAATGGCTGTCTGTTGATGCTCCTGATCTAGATGAACAATACTCTGCTGCAGCAGCAGCTGCTGCTGCAGCAGCAGCAGCTGCAGGTGGTAATGTTAGTGATGATCGATTCCCTGTTATACCATTGATGACAGGAGAGCTGCAGCAGCAGCAGCAAGAAGGAAGTGATGAGGAAGTACGATCTTCTTTCTTTTGCTGCAAGAGTTCTTCTTCTTCTCCTATTGATAAACAATTAACAACCCAACTATCTAAGGCATCATTAGCAGCAGCAGCAGCAGCAACGACACCTCCTCTATCTAGGAAGGCTAGCAGCCAATTATCCGAGACTCCTTCCTTATTAGGAGGGAAAGATTTCCTTAAGAATTATAAAATGAATATTCCTGAAGGACTTAACTTTGAAGGATTAGAAGGATTAGAGACACCGAAAGCAGCAGCAGCAGCAGCAGCAGCAAAAGCAGCAGCAGCAGCAGCAGCAGCAAAGACAACAACAACAGGAGAGAAGGGAAGGAAGAGACAGCTAAGCTATAAAGGATCATGGGTAGAGAAGTTTGTATCTGAGGGTTATACTGTTGTAGGTCTGCAGCTACCCGAGGCTGCATCAGCAGGTTGCTGCAGCTGCAGCTGCAGCAACAACAGCAGCAGCAACAGCAAGATGCAATTTGAAGATATTGTTGGTGATATTTGCACTCTGCTGCAGTCCTTGGCTAATTTGTCTTCTCTTCCTATCTTCCTTGTTGGTACAAACTCTGCTGCTACTGCAGCATTAAGAGCAGCACAAACCCTTGCAAAAGACGGACTCCTAGGCAAACCTGCAACAGCAGCAGCAGCTCATAAGCAGCAAGAGAAACACCATAAGAACGAGCGCCAGCAGCAGCAGCAGCAGCAGCAGCAGCTCCTCCAGGAGCTCACAGACAGAGCAACAGCATCGACAGCCAGCTCTCAACGTGGTTCTATAGACAGTAGAGGAGTTTCTTCTCATGCTGCAGCAGCAGCAGCAGCATCTGCTGCAAGTGGTGGTCGCAAGGGTCGTGCATTGGAGGCTGTACAAGAGGAGGAAGAAGATGATGATTCCTTGAGTACCATCAGCAGCACAAGCAGCGCAGCAGCACAAGCAGCAGCAGAGATGGGTGCTGATCATCGTGTTGTTAGACAGAAGCCCGTACCTCTTGCAGGTTTAATCCTCTTATCTCCTGTACTGGATGTACAAGACAGAGTTGCATGCGATTTATGCTGCTCTTCTTCTTTGTTAGACACACTTAAATCATGGATACCTTCATGGGGATCTCCTGCTGCTTCTCCTTCTGCTGCTGCTATCCAGCAGCGACACCGCAGCAGGAGCAGCAACAGAACCTTCTTGTATGCTGATTTAGCTAGAGGATTAGAGGCAGCACAAGAAGACATCTTGTGGTTAAGGAGACCAATCCTAAGAGATGCACAAAAACCCTTCAGTCTTAAAGACTGGACTGAGTTGCTGCATCGTAAAGTACAAGAGAAAGAAAAGCAGCAGCAGCAGCAGCAGCAACAGCAGCAGCAACAGCAGGAAGAGGCACATCGTAATAAAGAGGATCAAGAGGGTGATGCATCACACCAGCAGCAGCATTTGGCAGTTTTATTGCTGCAGCAGCTAGAAGATGATACAGAATCTACCTTAGCCTCTGTCCGTCTCTTTGAAGGATTAGGAGGGAAGGCAAAGTTACCTGAGCCATGGGCATCAATAAGGAGAGAAGAACGTCGTAAGGAAAAGGAGGCAAGAAGACAAGCTGCTGCTGCTGCAGCAGCTGCAGCAGCAGCAGCTGCTGCTGCTGGAGAAGGGGTAACAGTACTAGGAGAGACAAGAGAAGCAACAGACGAGCCACAGCGACCTAATGCTGCCTTTGAAGCAGAATTCTTATCTCGTGCTGCAAGTCAAGTGCAGCAGCAAGCGCAGCAAGAATTAACAAATGCAGCAGCAGCAGCACGTACAGCTGAAATTGCTGCAGCAGAAGGTAATGAGGAAGGAGAAAGGATGATTGGTGCTGCATTAACAGCAATAGATGCAGCAAACAAAACCCTAAAAAGAGCATCTACCTTAGACAGATTAGCAGCACAAGCAAGTGATAGACTACAAGAAGAACGTAAAGGACTTGCTGCTCAATTCATGGAACTGCAAAATAGCACTGCACCAGGAGAAGAAGGAGCAGCAGCAGCAGCAGCACAAGAAGAAGAGGTGGAGGGGCCTAAGGTGATATCAATTAAGAGAGAAGGAAACGAAGACGATGATGATCTGCAGCAGCAAATAGCTGACGAACATGGAGAACAAGGACAGACTAATGCAGCATCAACAAGCTGCATGAGCTGCGGTTGCTGCCGTGGCAGCAATGCTGCTGCTGCAGGCAGCAGCAAGGGTCTGCAGAGAAGAAAAAGAAACAAGGGTGGCAAGAAGTCGAGCAGCAGCAGCAACTTCCTGTTTGGTTGCTGCAGCTGTGCACAACAGCAGCAGCAGCAGAAGAGGGAACCAGGTCTTTATTTAAAGAGGAAGAAATGGAGTAAAATACCAGGGATGGTTATTGATGAAGATGGTTGTCTTGTAGAGGTAGAAAACGCAAAACAATTAATGGATGAAGTTCGTGCTAGTGGTTATGAGCCTTTCCCTGATGCTATAGATAGCGGCAACACCAGCGAGAAGGAGGAAGAAGAGGAAGAAGAAGATACTGTAAATGTAGATGAATTAGCAGTAAACAACAACTTCTCTTATCGTATCACTAATACACTAGAAGAAGGAAGTCTGCAACTGTGGCTACTAAGAGGAAACAATGGAGTTATGTTTACAGGAGAAGAAGGAGATGACGACCTACAGGAAGATATTATATCTAAATTTATTGAGCCTGTTATTAAGAAAATAGAGGCAGCGGCAGAAGAAGGACAAAAAGCAGCAGCATAAAGACAGCGTTTGTTTTAATAATATATATAATAGATTCCTCTCTTTCTTCGTTTCTTTCGTTTTCTTCTCCTCCTTTTCTTTCTTTTATTGCATTATGAAGAAACACGCAGCGAATCTGCATGACGATGTCGTGCAGATATATTCCAGTTTGGACGCAAGAGAATAAATATAATAATAATCGTCTGTAGAACGAGGAGAGGAAAAGAATTAATTTAATTCATATAATTAATTTAATGTTATCTCCAGTTTAAGAAGAACGCCAAATAAAAGAGGAAAAAGAGGAAAAAAGGCCGAAGTTCGACCGTTGATGTTTTTTGTCCAGGAGTACAGGAGAGTGTAGTAAATGAGGATCCGTGGCGTTTTAAACATAATTTTATGAACAATTCAATAAAAAGGGATTTAAATATATAAATTAAATTAATTTAAACTAAATTAATTTAATTGTTGTTTGATAAATGAAGAAAAATAAACTTTTATTTATCTGATCGTAATCTGAATTCATGAATGCCGATTCAGCTTTCCTCATTTCGGGTGTATAGGCACCTCATGAATGCAGAAACTTGAATTCAATGATGCGTCATCATCATTTCTTCTCTCTTTATGATATTTTCATGAATAAAGAGAGGAATTATACCATTATTACACTGGATAATGTCTAAATATTCACAAAGGAATATATCTTCTTGCATAATCATTATTTTATTCACTAATCATCATTCATCAACAAGCAGCTCATCTTGCAACACGGAAGAATTCAATATTAAATATGAATTAAATTAACGTTTGTGGTGTGTCCAAGGCTTACAATTGCACGTTCAATTCATATTATTGCTATAATTATTATTATTTATTTATTTATTTATTTATTTACTATTATTGCCCTTGTCACATTCATTCATGTATGTATTGCAGACAGTGTGTGTATGTGTGTGCGTGTTTGTTTATGTTTGTGTGTATGTGTATGTGTATGTGTTAGTGTATCATGTGCCCGTTTCCGTGTGTTGCATGTATTTATATATACTCTTATGTATTTATTAATACAATGAATGCAATGAATACATAAATAAATATAAAAATATAAATATATATCCTCCTACACTTCCCTATACAATGAAAGACAATAAGAAACATTCTTTTATGACAGGAGAGGCGTTTATTGCCCCCTGCGTTTCCCACCTCTTTGGCGAATATAAGTTCTTCTATTAGTCACTAGATGTCTCCTATATCTACCTAGTAAGTAGTTTATTTATTTATTTATTTATATATTTATTTTATTGCCGCAATATCTAGGTATACAACATATTAAAAAGAAAGTTTAGTTAGATGCCCCCTAAGGAGAATTTTTTCTTACACAGACAGAGGAAGGCAATGTTTATTGGTATTACGTAGCACAGCAGCAACGCAGCAGCTGCTGCAGCAGCAGCAGCTGCTGCAGCTGCTGGTGCTGAAGCAGCTGCAGCCGCAGCAGCAGCAGCACCAGCAGCTGTGGTGACAGGAAGGGCCGCTATATATATATAGACGCCATTTCTCTGCCTGTTTTGCATTCGCCTTCATTATAAATACGATTAAAAAGGCTACTTATTCAGGTGTACGTACACCCCAAAATGGTGTACAGCTGCTGCTCTATGCATGCATGCATGCATACACAGCACCAGCAGCGCAAGGGCGCGCGCATGCACGCCGCTGCGCTGCTGAAAGGCTTCTGCTGCATGCATGCATGCAGCGAGAGGCCTTTCAAGTGTCTGGACACCAAAGCTCTTCAGGTGTACGTACACCACAGGACCTCCTAAGGGAGCCAATTCATAAGAGAAAGAAGATAAAAGGCATAATTAATAAAGGTATTATTTTTAATACTTTTTTTATTTTTTTTGCCTTATTAAGGTATTATAAATAAAGGTATTATTAATATAGTAATAGTTAATAATATCCTTTATAAGTAAATGCCTTAATAAGGAAAGACAAAAGAAAAAACTGCAAAAAATATGCCTGAAAGCCACAAGGCTTCTATGATATAATAAGAAACATATCAACAATTCTGCTGCTGCTGCTGCTGCTGCGCCTGCTGTTGCAGGTACTTCTGCTGCTGCAGCTAGTGCTGCTGCAGCACCTGCAGCTATTGCTGCTGCTGCTACTCCAGCGGCTGTTCCTGCTGCTGCAGCGCCTGCAAATATTCCTGCTGCTGATACTCCAGCTGCTGCTCCTGCTGCTGCGCCTGCTGCAGCGCCTGCAGCTACTTCTGCTGGGGCTGCTGCTGGTGCCGCGCCAGCAACTTCTTCTGCTGCTGGGCTACTGCTGCTTCATCTACTGCTGCAGCTGCTGCAGTTACTGCTGCAGCAGCTGCTGCATCTCCTTTTGCTGCTGCTGCTTCTGCTGCTGCTTCTGCTTCTGCTGCTGCTGCTGCTTCTGCTGCTGCTGTTGCTTCTGCAGTAGCATATCTCACTGCTGCAACTGTTGCATATCATCTAACAACCTTTGTTCTTCTCCTCCTCTTCCTCCTTCTGCTGCTACTGCTGCTGCTCCTCCTCCTCTTCTTTCTTCTTCTTCTGCCTCTTCCTCTTCATAATCAAGAAGAAGTTCAGGGTTAGGGTTCCATGAAGGAATTGCAGTAAGAAAGAACATCGCCACTCCTTGGTATAGGGCCCTCTGCCAATAAGGAGGAGGCCTCCTTATAGAAGAGGGGCCCCTCTCCCGAGAGGATGAGGGGGCCCCCCGAGAGGAGGTAGGAGTGGGGCCCCCAACACTACTACTACGCATACCCTCAGCGGGGGCACCATGGGCCCCTGATGATGAATCTGATGTAGGAGGGGCCCCCTCATGAGGCCCATGCATGCGACGTCTATATACACTATCCGTGGGTCTGTCTGTCATCCTGCTCGTGCTGCTGCCGCTGCTGCTGCTGCTGCTGTCGCTGCTGCTGGTGGTGGCAGCTGTATCTCCTGTGCTAGGTGTTGTTGTGTCTTCTGCTGCATTATAAGATGCTCCTCCTGCAGCAGCAACAACAGCAGCAAACGCTCCTTACGGATTGCAACAACTGCAGCAGTAACAGCAGCAACTGCAGCAACAGCAGCGGGCATCTGTGTGTCTGTCCTTTCCTCTACCTGTTATATAGGAGACAATTAAATTGCATGCATGCATGTATGTATGCACGGACATGCATGCACCCGCATGCATGCATGCATGCATGCAATTATGTTTCCTTAACGTACCATCAAAAGGACGGCCAACAGATGCATGCAGCCTTCGCTGCTGCAGCCGTAGCCGCTGCAGTGGTCGCCTCTCCCTTCTTCTCCTTAGCTGCGCTAAGGTCTGTGCAGCACCAGCAGCAAACACAGCAGCAGCAGCAGCAGCAGCAGTTATTGACGATGGTACGTTATGCAGAGCAAACAGCAGCATTATCTCTCTTATGCACCCTACACAGTGCACTAGCAGCAGCCCCCCAGCTAGCTACCTACCTACCTAGCTACCTAGCTAGCTAGCTAACTAGATAGGTAGGTAGGTAGGTATATATATATATATATA